ATCAGGCACTGGTACAACTAACCAGGTTATGTGTGGATGAGTGCAAAGGTACCTCCCGACTTAAAGAAAGGGCTTTGCATTTTTACAGTTCACAGTGCAAATGATAAAGCGCATTTTTCAAACGATAAGATGTCACGCGAAAATTCGAAACCGAAATCTTCTCGAGCATATCTGAATTGCCAACACACAATCCATCCTCGCTATCGCAAAAACACCAGTGCTAAAGTCATGGTTGTATCGAGAACTGAAAGAATTTCCTTAATTTCGCCTTCAACTAATGTGCTTTAACGCTACTTACTCCTCTGAAACAGTCTTTAATAAGACATAACTTTAAAATTCAGTCCTGTTCAACTAACTAAAAACCGTCCCGATATTGAGAAACCAAAATTAAATACATGACGGTGTTCCGCTCAAGATGTTAATAGTACTAGTCTAACTATACACTTTGACCTGGTACCCGAAGCCAGTTTCGATGTATTCTACGAAGTCTATCAAGTATAAAGTCAACTAATATTACGTTGCAATGGACGATCAGACAAACAAATGAATTATGATTTTTCTAAGTTGTGAAACAATATAATTACCCGCCTCTGAAAAATAACGCAAAATGGCAGAGGGGAAAGAATAATACTGCGGTGGATAAACATGTAAATAAAAGAAGAATAATGAAGAGTATGGGAAACAATATTTGCGACTTTAAACAGAGTAGATTACATTTCACCGAAGGCCGTTAACCATTGGATCGGAGAAACCAAACTACCCTGGTGAGACAAACTAGCTCAAAAGTAAAGGAGTTCATGGACTGGTGAAATGTACTTGTCTGACACTACTTAGCTACTGACCAAACTTATCCCACGTCGTCTAAAAGCGGTTTTTAAGGAAGAGGATGGCTCGAGATGCGTCTCATGCACTAGCCGACTTAGTTAATGGAGATCCATAACCTTTTTAATTTAGTACTACGTCTTACCCTAGCATTATTTAATAGATTAGAATTGAGTTGCTGTTTCATTTAACCATCACAATATTTCGAAAACCAGCACTCTGAAGGTATCCAAACTTTTACAAAACGGGATTGCACTGTCACTTCTAAAACCAATTGTGAGGCGAATTTCCCGGAGTGCATGAGTTATGAATTATACTCTGAACCTCCATTTCGAAATAGACCGATCACGAGCCACTAAGTAACATCACATTTTGAAGTCTAGAGGTGGGTTAAAGTGACTGAATTTCACTGTTGATTGTAACGCGATTACATTTTGACTCATTCCATAAAACGATCTAGTGAGAACACCTTGGTATCAAAAGGGATAAAAATAATATACCTCATTTTCTTGCGCATCCATACGACGAAGTTTGTTGCCATGCGAATTTATCTCATCTTTCAACTCTTTTATGTTCCTATAAATAAGTCTCAATATTAAGACACATTACTTTAGGAGGGACTCTTCCTTTTTCTCATACTTCTCTACTACTTCCAATTTTTCTTGAAGTTGTTTGAGAGTCTACAAAGTTAGATATGTCTGTCTCAAAGTACCTCGTCGTAGATCTGAGCTGAAGACCTCGCTTGACTCTGTGCTTCACTAACTTCATCCTCTAGAGACCTGATAGTCTCTTCTTGGCTTTCCAGACGCTTTTCTAGGGATTCGTGTGCTCTAACAAAATGTAGTTATGGTGGAAAGCTGTTACTTTTGACATTCAGCCGCAGATTTCTGAAGTTCATTCTGACGCTCAGTATTCGCCTTAATGGAGTCTGCATGTTGTTCACTCTTTTGCTCTAGACTATCAACAAATCTATGTTTGTCTTTAATTTCTGCGTCAAGCTGTCTGTAAAACAGTAGTATGCATGTAATACCTTTTTGATAACATTTCTCTGGGACTCCTTTTCTTTACGTTTTGCATCTAGTTCAAGGGAGAGTTTCGTTATATTATTCTGCAGATCCGTAAGTTTAGCAGAAATCGCGCCAACAGTAACCATGTTCCGAAACGTACAAATCCAGCGCCTCCGAACTTCCTATATCCAGACACAGTTTCATTGCCATTTCATTGGAAATTAAATAGAGTAAAATTCTATGCCACCTTGTCATCAGGTGTTTCTCTCTATTAATCCGCTGCTGATGTGGTCCATTAAGAGGGTGAAAACTAGTTCTTCTGAATATCAACTACTAAGCTAATGACGTAATGAGACAAGTGACATTCTGTGAATCAGATTCAGATGATAAGGATAGTAGGCCCTTGTGGCCTGTGTAAATCCTTGTAAAATATATCTCTGCAGAGATCTAACTTCCCTTTGAAAGCGTTCACCGATGGAGCTGATACTATTGAATCAGGTTAGGAGTTCCAGTCGTTGACCCTTTAGGGATTGACGGTATCGACGTTCGCGAGTTGTACGGATTATACTAACGCAAGATCTTATACCAACAACCACTATAGTGTTCGTTCTTCGAGTACCAAATGGTAAAGCAAAAGACCAGATTTTGTCGTCCAAATACGATATATATTTTGGGACCAAATCGCGGGTAGGAATGAATGCTTAGCTAGCTAGTAATCGTGCACGCACGTGACACGACGGAGCACCAAATGGCGGGGATGCTTGACCGTAAGCCTTCAGCTAAACAAGTCGACTTAAACAGTGATGGTCAGCATCCAATGTTGAGTGATGATTGCTGTGGTTAATAATTTTGGGGAATTATTTACCGCTACAGCTCACTCCCCCCCTAGTGGGTTTGTGAGGACCCTAAGACATGACCAGCCGGAAGTAAAAAAATCTCGATGGTTCCCTGATGGGTGAAAAAAATCTTCCAAGCGGCTTGATGGAGAGCCTGCTGGTCTGTCTGCCTATGCTAATAGGGTGTCTGTACATAGCTTCCTCAGTGTTGTTCGTTGGATCCCGTGCTTCGTTTGTTTCCTGTCCAGTGCCCGTTGCACCTGGAAAAGAAAACAAGAATGCTGAGAACCTTGTCAAGAAAAATGTACCAAATAAGCGTTTTACCAAAAAATTGACGTGCATCTACTATACAGTAAAATAATGTAAAGTTCAAAATTTCGGGAAAAAAAATATACATCTAATTTAATTTTATGTACGGTTATAGGAAAAATATCATTTACTTGTGTTAAATGACGCAACATAAAAAAATTGATGTGTCACTCAGTTATGTGAAATAGGTGTGAAGGTATTCTGGGAATCTAACGTGACGTCCAGAACGCGTTTTCTTAGAGTGATCGACCGAAGTAGCCAGTGGGCGAATGCCCTGACAGTCAATAGTGTGACCCAGAAAATCGAGTGAGTCAACGCCTATTTGACACTTCTGTATATTGATGGTAACACCATGTTGGCGTAACCTTTCAAATGCCAAGTCCAAGTGTCTAAGGTGAGTTTCCTTATCTGGACTGGCAATGAGGCAGTCGTCTAAGTATGCGTATACAAAGTCGAGACCGCGAAATACTTCGTTGATGAAGCGTTGGAATGTTTGGGCCGCATTCCGGAGGCCGAATGGCATACGTAGAAATTCGAAAAGTCCGAAAGGCGTAATGATAGCCGTTTTCGGGATATCTTCCGTTGCCATCGGGATTTGGTTATATGCTTTAACCAAGTCGATTTTGGAGAATATAGATGCTCCAGATAACGTTGCCGTCAAGTCGTGTATGTGAGGCAAAGGGTAGCAATCAGGAGTTGTTTTGGCGTTGACTCGCCGGTAATCACCAGTGGGTCGCCAATCGTTACTATCTTTTTTTGGAACCATATGCAACGGGGATGCCCATGGACTATTCGATGGTCGAATGATGCCAAGGGTGAGCATATGATCGAATTCGTTTCTGGCAATTCTCAGTTTATCAGGGGCCAGTCGTCGTGCTTTAGATGTCACGGGCTGTCCTGAGGTTATGATGTGGTGCATAACATTGCTGGTTATACACGGGAGGTCGTTAGATGGGCAATTCAGTTCCGGATATTTATCAACAATCGGTTGAAAAGTTGGATCGAGGATTGCTTTCATCTTAACGATTGACAAGCTGGGGCCTACGTAAGTTATGCCTTTGATAGACAAACTAGTAGTGTTGTCAATTAATCGTTTACGGCGGACGTCTACGAGCAAATCATGATGATTAAGTAGGTCCGTGCCGATGATGGGCATTGTGACGTCAGCGATCAGAAAAATCCACCGAATAGGTTTGCGTAAACCTACGTTCAGATAGACGTATTTCCGACCATAGGTTGCAATTGGTTTTCCATTTGCAGCCTGTAGGTTGAAGTTAGGATCCTTCTGTCGATCTGCTGCTGTAGCAGGAAGGACGCTGACTTCGGCGCCTGTGTCGACTAGATATCTAGTCTGGCTAATTACATCATGGATGTAAAGTAAGCGGCTAGTGCCACCGGCGACGGTTGCCGCTAACGCGTGCCGGCGGGATAGTTTCCCACAGACTTGGAGGCTTTGCCGAAATCACAAGGTTTTCGACAACATTTCGCTTCCTTGCCATAGGTGTTGTGATACCAACACCAGTCAGGATTTTTGAGAGAGCGTGTGTTGGACTTAGATCGTCCACGTGCGTTTTGCCGTTGAGGGGATTTAGAACGACGATAGGAGGAATTGCTAGGCTTGTTTGACCTAAGCATCTGCTGGACGGAGTTGATTAACTCTATCATTGCAGAATCCTTCTTCGAAGTCTGTTCGGTAACAGAGTATACTTCGGTAACTGGCCGTTTCGTTATCTCTAGAATTCTATCTGCAGAGACAGCTAAGTCATCTATGAGAACACTTTGAAGTGTCACAAGTACAGTCTGAACTGACTGTGGCAGTTTGGATAAAAATAGTTCTCTAAACAGTCCTTCATCGAACTGACTTTGGCCAATGATCTCTTTCATTCTTGCCAGCATGCTCACGGCTGACTGATCTCCTAACTCGATGTTACGAAATAACTCATCCAGACGTTGTCGATCTGTGAGAACGTTTCTCTTGAGGATGGATGCTTTTAGCAACTCGTACGAGTTACTTACCGACATCTGCAGAGTTACGCACCTGCTGAATTCCCGCGGTAGGGCGTGAATAACTGCAAGGAACTGTGAACGTTGATCAGTTATGCCATGTTCACAAAAATCAGACTCAGCAATCTGAAACCACGTTTCAGCATTATCGGGCCAATATGGTACTAGCTGGATTGTTTTGGCGGCTGAGCGAATCTGAATAACCTTGGGGCTAGGATCACTCATGACGAAAAGTATGCCGATAACAATATAGTACAAGAATAAACACAAAAAGGAACGAACTCACCGGGTTTATCTGCGTGTGAATTGAAGATGAAGTTCGAGGTTGGGCTCACCAGTTTAGGGGGCTGGTATCGAACGTTCGCGAGTTGTACGGATTATACTAACGCAAGATCTTATACCAACAACCACTATAGTGTTCGTTCTTCGAGTACCAAATGGTAAAGCAAAAGACCAGATTTTGTCGTCCAAATACGATATATATTTTGGGACCAAATCGCGGGTAGGAATGAATGCTTAGCTAGCTAGTAATCGTGCACGCACGTGACACGACGGAGCACCAAATGGCGGGGATGCTTGACCGTAAGCCTTCAGCTAAACAAGTCGACTTAAACAGTGATGGTCAGCATCCAATGTTGAGTGATGATTGCTGTGGTTAATAATTTTGGGGAATTATTTACCGCTACAACCCCTATGTGAGAGAATCTAAATTCTACACGTATTTTAATCGTCCTCGCTTTGAGCACGCTTTTTTGCTGACCCTGTAAATGTATCCTAGAAGGGAAGAAAAGGTTAGAAAAGTCAGTTCCTAAATCACCCTTAAATATGCGGTATGCTAAAATTAAGTCGCCTCTCTTCCTTCGGTGTGATAACGGGAAGAGACTTAAATGCGCCATCCAGTTGTCATAAGGAAGGCGTGAGATACCACTAATTAATTTGGTTCCCACCCTTTGTACTCTTTCTAAGATATATCCCTCCTTCTTGAAGTATGAACTAGCCGTTTATATGCAGTATTCTAGTTGATTTTGATGTGGTTGTGTTCTCTGGGCTGAATAGTATTCTATATGAGGCCTAACATGTGTTGCATAAAGTACTTTGAACATAGACTCATCTAATTTTTTGAAAGCTCTTCGGTGTGCCTATAGCATTCGAAAAGCCCGAGCTGCGGCTGCCTCGCAATTTGCAGTTATTTTCAAATCACTGTTGGCAGTGATTCCTAGGTCCTGTCCGTTAATATCAGGTAGTTCTGAGCCCCCTAGGGAGTACGACGTATAAGACTTCTGACCTAAGAGCTTTACCGCACTTTTCCTAGAAATAACTTCCAAACTCCACAGGTTCGACCACTCAGCTAATTTATTTAGATAACTTTGTAGGGCCTGCCTATCATCGTTATTATTGACAGTTTTCCAGATATTTATGTCGACCGCAAATAATAATGAAGATGAAGTAAGAATCCCCGGTAGTTCATTAACGTATAATAGGAACTACCTTCTATCCATTAGGTAATCCCTAAACCCCCCACATAAGCGTTGGTCTAGTCCGAAACGTTTAAGTTTACTAAGCAGAACAGGTTCTAATCCTTCTAGCCACTTTTCTCTGAAATGTCACTTATATACTTCACGATAATCCTTCTACCTAATTACTATTATACCCTATTTTATCTCAATTTCCTAGGACTTTAATAAAGCTGAAATTTACATTTTTTTCTTTTTTCTAATTTACACTCTTCTCTCGCATAAAGTTCGGTTGCTCTGATGATAAAAAAAACATAACAACACTCATGTTTGAGAATAACTATATTTTCATAGAAAACGTCATAGTTTTCCATGGTAAGACCAATATGGTTAGCATCATACATTGCAAATGTGCACTATCATATCAAGTACTGTATAGCTTATTCTTGTATTTTTCTTGTAAATATACTTCCAATAATGTATTATTCATGATTGCATTTTATACCACTTTGTAGCTGTGCAGGATTTTCTCCTATTCCTGAAAGAGCGTTCAAGCACGTGGGGTCACAGTACTCACTCAAATATATGTTGTTTATCGATAGGCCATTACTATCATCAGGAAATGGAACGAAGTATGGGTTGTCGCTCAACTTCGATGGAGACCTTCGTGAAAGATTTACAAATTAACAATTATAAGAATCTGTTCCGATTGCTTGTACTATAATTCAACAATTTGAACTTTTTAAAAAAAGTGATAATGTATGCTAATTCATAATTGTAATTCGTAACATAATTGATCGTGCCTGTAAAAATGGCATGCATTTCATATAAAGTTACCTGTTTATACGAAATATAAATTATAAATTATAAGTGGGATTCTATGTCGAATGCCTTACTAAGAACGGAAAAAACACGTCCAACAGGTTTTTATCTCTCGCTTACACCCAGTCTTCCTTAGCCAACAGTAGATTTATCAGGCAGGATCGTCCTGGTAAGAATCCATGCTGTTCCACCGCCAGCAAGCCATGTTTTTCCACACGAGCTAGTACCTGACCCCTTATAATTGCTTCCAATACCTTTACTGTAATGCATATCAAATTTACCGGGTGGTAGTTAGTTACCGATTGCCTGTTCCCCTCTTTGAAGATAGGGCTTATAATAACATCCTTCCAGTCCCTCGGTAGCTTAGCCTGGGTCAGAGATATTCGGAAAATCTCCAGAGGTGGAATATATATTATACCCTCCAAGGGAATTAACAGTTTAGGGTGAAGTCCATCGGGTCCATGTGATCTACCTTGCTTCAGTCTAGACAGTAGTTTGGGGACGTTTCCGTGCTTTACCACAATTAAGGGCATCTGAGTAGCAATGGTAGTGACCTCGTTATATCCCTGGGTGGTACAATCAAACGAGAAGACGTTACAGAAGTATTCAGAGAGGTTTTAGCCTTTCCCTCGTCTGAATCAGCCGCTTCCCTACCAATGCTTATGAGTGACGGTATACCACTGCTAGTTTTAGTCCTATGCTTAATATACGAGTAAAGCCTTCTTGGGTAATGAACACAATCCAGTCTCTTGTGCTCTATACGACTCTTGTCAATCATATACTTTAATAATTCCTATTGTAGCATTAAGAACACAATATTCAGCGAAGAGACTCTTTTCAACGAATTTATTATCAAGCTGTACAATCGTATATATATGGTTTTTATAAAAATTATATCCGGTGAGGAAATTAGGTCAAAGGTGTGAATACATGAAATAATAATAGTATGAAATGCAATTAAAATATTTGTGATTATAACCATAGTTTAATGTCAAGTGGCAAAATAATTAATGTCGTATATAGAATAATACATAAGGTGTATAGAATTTTAGAATTATGTACCCAATTCTAAAATTCTATACACCTTATGTATTATTCTATATACGACATTAATTATTTTGCCACTTGACATTAAACTATGGTTATAATCACAAATATTTTAATTGCATTTCATACTATTATTATTTCATGTATTCACACCTTTGACCTAATTTCCTCACCGGATATAATTTTTATAAAAACCATATATATACGATTGTACAGCTTGATAATAAATTCGTTGAAAAGAGTCTCTTCGCTGAATATTGTGTTCCTAATCATATACTTGCAGAGATTTTGAGTTTCACAGTAGTTCATCTGGAAATTTTCTCTCCCTGTCATAATAAATTGGTCCAATAACTTCTTCCTCCGTCTTAATGGTCTCCTTATTTCACTAGTAATCAAAAGTTAACTTATGTGATAGCTTTCGAGGAGTGTACCAATGTACAAAAGGTGAAGTGACACAATCTGGTGTATTCCTAAATCCCACCCAAGCTTCCTCAACAGTCCAACCTGTATCAGCTGACCAGTCAGCTGCAGTTGCTGCGTTCTGGATTCCGGGTATATTCACTTTCCAATTGTTTGGACGAGCAGATGTTGACCTGTGTATGAGAGAATGAATTTTAAACGTTAAAGTAATGACCACATGGCCACTACTGCCAAGCGGCGGAAGGCACCTAATGCTACAAACGTCCCCCTTCCTATGTGTTAGTACCAAGTCTAGAGTAGACGGGTCATGTTCAAGGTGGTACGGTCTTGGCGTATGCATATGTTGCACGAGTGCACATTCAAGCGCTGTCAGTGTGAGCTCCCTCTTGAAAAAGGCAAACAAACTGATATAAGGATAGAACTTGCGCAGTGTAGTAGAGTGTAATTGCATTTTGGCAAAGTCTCACAGTGCTATACAGTAATATCAGATCAAGGTCTGATATGATTATGTGCAATAAATTGTGCTCGAAACGTCATCAGTAAATAAATATTACTGTATAACACAGTGAGACTTTATCAAAATAAGTTTTGCCCGCAATCGAAGGTATACAAACTAGTGGATTTTAATTCCTCCCAATTAATGTATGGAGCGTTGAAGTCACCAACCACCAGACACCCATTTTCACTACTCCACGCCCTGAAGTGATTTAGAACGAACTCTTCAGCTTGGCTAGCAGGACCTCTGTAAATAACGCCGATCGTTAAAGTGCCCTTGTTCAAGTTAATGACGCAACTTGCGGCTTCACTGGTGCCACTTACATGTGCCTCTGACAGCGTTGACGTTATCCCTATGTCATCCCTGATTAATAGGGTAGCCCCACCACATTTCCGACTAATTACTCTGTCCGCTTTAATGTAGTTGTACTCAGATATTGGTGGAATTAAGTCTACCCCAACTAACAACCATGTCTCAGTGATAGAAATCACATCCTGTTGTAGTCTTTCAAATAATTCTCCTAATTCGGTCAGCTTGATCCTTGGACTACATGCGTTCGTATAGCGCACTGAAGCAACTGCATGTTAATCCGGCTTATGAAAAGAGGTCTTGGCAGCATTTCAAGGTTTTCGCCACTTGCTGTAGTCATGACCTTTGGGTCTAGTATGAAAGAAAACGATAAGATGAATGAGTCCTTAGCCTAAGTCCCTAGTCCTTCTTAAAACTATGATCATGATTAATAACAATAATACATTCTCACTTTATATACATGAGGGACGCCAGTTTACAGGCATCATCGATATGATAAGTAATATCTACATGTAGTAAGCATATTTACAAATTTCACTAACACAGGATATATATATACAAGGAAAAGCAATGGAGTAATGACGGTAAGCACACTTTATATGGATTAAAACGATTTGTATGCCATAATCCTAGGCACCATTATTGTTTGAATTTGTCGAAGACGCGAGTAACAACTGAGTGTTGCGTTAAATTTGGTCGTTATGGTGGGCTGTTCACAAAAGTATAAAAATGGCTTGTAAAACGCTTGTATTTCACCGACAACAATGTTTTCAGCATTATAATCTGAAAGAGGCTCGCTACAGCAGTTAGTATCCATTTAAAAATGTAAAGAAGTATCAATGAATCAACAACCGATGAATTTTTGATTCACTTCGGCAAGGAACCAGAATGTCTGCAAACCAATCCATACAAAATGTCGAACGAAGCATGCAGGAGCAGAATATTATAATCGAACGGGTCAGTAGGATTCGAAATGTAGCTGTCAGCATGTTATCATTACTTCTTAGATGTCCAGGTTTATCGTTGCTGTATTGGTGATGATCTGGATTTGTCAGTATGATAAACAT